TGCATTCTTCCGGACAGGGTTTGAAACCTCCCCTTCAAAATATGTTCAAATATATATATATATATATAAATTGAAATTAATTTTAATATTAAGTGAATTTAATTAGATAATTAATAAATTAAAGATTAAAATTTATTATTTCAATATAAATTTATAATAAAAATATGTATTATAAATCCTTTATTTATTATTTTCTATTTACACGTTAAGCATTTATTAATCTGAAACATCACCTTTTTTTTTCCTCCTTTTCAGATCGGCAAAACAAGCAGCAAAGACTTGAATCAAAGACTTGAAGATCACCTACCATCGCATTAACAAAAGCAATTCAATGCTACTTTTTCGCCATCAGCAACAAAGACTTGAAGACTACCTAGTGTTTACACAGCTGAATGACTTGGTCGTATTAATCTCATGACTCTATTGGAGGTTGGTGTGAAACATACTAAATTCGCCAATTGCACTATCACAACACATGCACTACCACATTCTACCAATGAGCCTCTTAAAGCCTTCCTCATTTGCCAATTGTAAGGCCCTACGGAAGATCACAAGCTTTACCATTTTCTGCTATTAACGGTCTGTGATATTTCTGGGAATGCATGGTACAATTGGTTTGAATGCATGATGCAAAGCAAGTATATTATTAAAAGATGTTCTAAATTCGAATAGTATAGCATACGGATAAGATGAGATAATGGATGAGAGATTATTGTCTTTTATTGTATAACTAAAATTTAAAAAAGAAGAAGATAAGATTGTAATTGAAATATATAATTATTTTATTTCTTTTCCTTTCCTTTATTTATTTTGATATATCTAAATGAGGAGAGAAAAACTGAAATATACCCTAAAATAAAACTCTTTGCAAACCAAACATACTCTTAAAAATAAAAACTTAATTTCAGATTTCATAATTGCTTGTTTGCTACAAATTGACCAAGAACTAAATATGACACGAAAATAGACAGATTGAAATAACACTTGGAGAAAATGTAAAACATTTTCCCTAATGTTATACCCTAAAATGAAACTTCTCACAAATCAAATATATTTTTTAAAATATTATACTTTAATTTGTTAAATATTTTTTCCTTTTTCTTTTTCATTTCATTCTTCTCAACCTAATCATATAGTTAGTGGAAAGATTCAAAAATTCCTTCCAGATTGCCTTATTCTTATCTTCTTTCTTAATTTTGGATATGGAAAGTTGGTACTGAAAAATTCATAGACATAAATAGGATATATTCTTTTTCTTTTTTTAAATTCTATTTTAATAGTGGCATATAAAAGCGGTTTTCCTTTTTTTTTTTTTGGACATTCTCTGCCTAATTGCTGTCATCATGACTTCAAGATAATTAAGATTACTACTTTTAAAGAGGACAAAAATGGGAAACAAAATTTCAGTCAGGCTACGAGAACAGGTAAAGAGAAATTCAAGTTTCAATATATCACTTTATTATTGGATTTAATGAATTGTCATTGTTAATTGAGCCATTGAAATTTAAATTACAGGCTCTCGACGTTGCCTCCTTCTTTGACCTAAATAAGTCGTTAGATTACCTTGAGAACTTGACCTCCGCCTTCCTCACCTTGCCAGTAAAATCAAGGGTTATGGGATCGAGAGTTGTATTTGGTTTGAGAGAGAGAAAAATTTCTCATCTAATCTAGTTATGTAAAATTATTAGGTTAATGTCTTAATCTAATCAATTAATTTAATTAATTTGATTGAAAAAAATTTTCCTCCCTCATTGCTCTGTCACTTAAAATAAAGAGGTTTTGACGTGTGAAACACAAAAGGCTTAAAAAAATTTTATTCTTTTTACCAAAATTAGTTATTATGTTTGATTTGAGGGAAATGGAGTAGGTGAATTAGAGCAAAGCAAAGGATTGTGTTTTATTATTATTATTATTTTTTTTAATGTAAAATAAAGAGTTATATGATGGTAAATAGCACTTTTTTTAAAAAAAATTTTTTTTACTCATTTTAAAATTTAAATTTAAAATCTTAAATATAAAGATTTATAATCACTAAATCGTCTCTTAAAAAGGCAAAAAAACTAAAATTTTTAATTAATTAAATTATAACATAAGAAAAAAAAAAGGTAAATTTTTTTAACTAAACCCCCTCTTCCCAACCTCAACATGCTATTAAGCCTGCTTCGAAGATAACGCAAGCCGCAAGGGGCCCCGTCTCAGCACAATCGTTTTGGACATTCTGTCCATTTTAATTGAAGGGCTTTACAATTGGGCCTTTGCCCCCGCCTTCGGGCATCTCCACTTCTCCTTCGCTTTCCGAAATCTTTGCTTAATTATCGCGTAGCTTCTGCCCTTCGCCGTGCGTTTTGTGCTGCTTGTTCCTCGTCGCCTCCGCGTGAAGATGGATTACGAGAACAAGCTCGTCCTTGCTCCCATGGTTCGAGTTGTGAGTCAACTCAACTCTTAACAGCCTTTTATTCCTTCTGATATCATTTATAATCATCCAAACAGAGCCTGATTGTTAGTTTCTGATTCTTTCTTTTGGCTCAGGGGACGCTGCCATTTAGATTGCTAGCTGCAGAATATGGCGCGGATATTACTTACGGGGAGGAGATTATCGATCATAAAATGCTCAAATGTGAGCGCAGAGTTAACGGTGGGTTGTGGTTTATGCTTCAATTTTGTTAATTTCAAGTATTTGTTGTGAATTTTGAGATGTATGTATTTGGAACAGTTTCTGTTGTTACTGTTTATCAATGATTCCTGGTAGTTTTTTGGGTGTTGAACTGTTGATGGATGCTGATATGGTAACTAAGAAATGACATGTTAGCCTCAGTCTTCATAGGTGGCATGAATGCAGGATATTGTATGTAGTTCTCTCAATTGATTCCATAGCAAATCTCGAGAAACAACAAATAATTTTTTTGGGGATTGTATTTCAATTGGATGGTCTTTGATATTATGATGGCCACTAGCTAAATATTAAAACTGTGGGTTGTTGTTTCAAAATTTTAATGTTTGATGGGGAAAGTTTATTTTCTGGATGAAGGCCTGTTGTGATGGCTACAGATGTTAAGCAGTTTGGCTACTAGTACTAGCTTTGTAGCGCAACAAGGGGTTGGCCAATAGCTGAATTTGCTCAGGTGACATTCATTGGATTCATTACATTTTAAGGCTGATATTTGTATTCTAAAGCAAGCTGTGGGTTTGGTTTATGTCTTAGACTTTGACTTCTGTTTTGAGCTCCAGCAGTCTCCTGCTTGGCTACAATTCAAGTAACAAATGCTGAATGGTAAAATGTTTTCTGGTTAGATTCAGTACCAAGAAGTTGTAGGCTTGGTGTATGTGCACTCAATACGTGCTATTTAATATTGAAAAAAGTACCACTTGTATTATGTTGTTAGCTTTTAGCATTTATTGGATTTCTTGGAAGTTGATTTGGTATTACAAATATGTCAACTTTACTTGTCTTCCCATTATATTGGACTGTGCTTTTGATTTTATGTATATAACTTACTAGTTACTAAGGATGAAACAATAATCTAACTTTAAGGTCCTGATCCCAGTTTGGGGTAGCCAATATTCTTTTAGCTTGGATCAGCATTTGGATTGTAAATTCAGACACTTCAAGGAATAATCAAAGATCTAGTGATGGTCAATATCTGTCTTCTAGTAATAGTTCTGAAAAAGCTCTTCAGAGTAATGCAGTATTGACTCTCAATATTGATTGAATTTAGTGATTAATATCTAATATATTATCTTTCTAGGGCACAATGCTATTTAGGGTGCCAGCCCAATATGAGGCAAATATTACATACATGGAGGTGACTAGCAATCATGTCCTAGTCGAATTCCAGCAAGGATGAAATGGTAAATTCTACTCCATGCTTAGGAACCCACAAGAAAGAAAAGTTTGGTTGTGTTGCAATTTTCAATTTGATAGTAAGTTATCTCTATTGTCAGTCATCCAATATAACTTCCATACTTCCACCTTGTATGAACTAGTTGGAGAGGCATTGATGTTGCTTTTAGTTGTGACATCATAGAACTGTACACTTCATTTATTCCTTCTCAGTTTTACTTATGGTAGAGTAATTAAAATGTCTGCTCATGTTGCTTACATTTTCACTCCTTTGTATAATTAACACTCATACATCATGAAGGAGTTGGATCTGTGCAACTGATTCTTTCTTTAAGCTTGATTCAGATAGAAAATGAACAGCATTTTTGAATATACCTAAAAGCATTATTGGCATAAAAGTTAATTATAAGGTAATAGTTTCCTTTTCAATATTGCTAGGCATAAATTTTGGATAAAAGGTCTACACTGACTTACTTGGATGAGGTAAAATTTCAGATCAGAGAGTTATGAGCCAAGTGTGAGATTAAGAGAAAATCATACAAGATTTTGTAGATCTTTTGTGTCATGGGATGATGGAATTTTCAATTTAGTATCTTCTCTTCTTCGATTAGCCAATGAAACAGGGTTTTATGTTACTTGAGCATCTTGTTCATTATTATATAGCCAATAGAGCATATATATGGGTGATTGAAGTTGTGACCATTTTGGATGATTTGTATCCTTTCTTTGTACAGAATGCATTGGCACCACTGATTTTGTGGAGAAGGGAACAGAGAATGTTGTTTTCAGAACCTGCAATCAAGAAAGAAATCAAGTAGTGTTCCAAATGGGCACTTCTGATGCAGTGAGGGCTCTAGCAGCTGCTCAGATTGTGTAAGTTAATTCTTGCCAATTTCTTGTTAGTGTTACCCTTCATCAAAAACTTGGGATCTCTTTCCTGAGTGTGTTTATAAATATATATACTGTGGTTCATCTGCTTGACAAAGATCCCTTCACAAATTGGGTTCTTTGTTTGTTCAGAAATTTAAAAACCATGATCATGCCCTACTTGTCTAACCAACCACTTTTTTATTTTTTTTAAAATATATATATATATAAAATTTTAATATAAATTTCTTCATTTAGGTGTAAAGATGTTGCTGCAGTAGACATCAACATGGGCTGCCCAAAGTCCTTTTCTGTGAGTGGAGGCATGGGTGCTGCATTATTGACGAAACCTGAGCTCATTCATGATGTATGTGCTGCCTATCATTGAACAAATTTTCGTCATTAACTTCTCATTCATTGCTACAGTTAAAATTTGGCCATTAACATTATACAATTCTGATTCAGATTTTGACGACATTGAGGAGGAACTTGGACATACCAGTGACATGCAAGATTCGGCTTTTAAAATCATCACAGGATACAGTAGAGCTAGCCAGGAGAATTGAGAAAACTGGTGTTTCTGCTTTGGCTGTCCATGGAAGGTAATTGTAGAACTACTTATATTCTTTGTTCAAGCTACTTTTGGCCTTTGGCATCGTTCTGCATTTAAGGAGAGGGGAAAATTGAAATAATGTACATTGATACGGTAATTAAGATCTTTGGAAAGTTAATCACTATTGTTGTTTATAGATGGTTCATGTTTGTGTATTTGTCTTGAATAAATTGCAGAAAAGTTGCAGATAGGCCAAGGGATCCAGCCAAGTGGAATGAGATTGCTGATATTGTAGCTGCATTGTCAATTCCAGTTATTGCAAATGGTGATGTCTTTGAATATGATGATTTTCAACGCATTAAAATTGCAACAGGTAGTTAGAGTATGTTATCTTTTGGTTTTCATTAAAATGCTTTGTTCATATGAGTTTAACTATTGTAGTTGTTTTATGGTCTGCCTATATTTACTATTTCTAAGCAGTGCATCCTTTTTTTGTTTTTCTAAGGTGCTTCATCTGTGATGGTGGCCAGGGGAGCTCTTTGGAATGCTTCAATTTTCTCTCCCAAAGGCAAAGTGCATTGGGAAGATGTGAAAAGAGAGTATGTTAGAAAGGTGAATTTTGTTTCCCTATTTGGCAACCTTTGAATGCTAGAATATTAACTGTAGTTCATTCCATGCTGTTGGTGTTTTGTTCGCTTGTAGGCTGGATTAGGAACCCACATTTTCTTACAAATTAAAATTGTTTGGTCCCTTTATTTCAGAGCATCTTATGGGATAATGATGTTAAAAGCACAAAGCAAACGTTGAAGGAGATGATAATGCACTATTCCTGCCTTGAACTCCCAGAGGGAAAAGCTGTGATCAAGGCTGAAAACTTGGCAGATCTGGCGTAAGTCCTTTTTTCCTACTTTTCATAATTTCCTTGTGGGCTTAAAAATCCTGACTTTAGGCATGTTGCTCCTTTCCTTCAGTAGTTTAGCAGTTTTTATGTTTTATTCACTTTAAGCCCACCCCCTGCTTGATTTGATCAATGGGCTTTTTGTTTTGAGTTAGGAAAAGGTAAAAAGAATTAGAATAAGAACCATTTAAATCCCAACGAGCTGCAAGCATGAAGTACGTATAAGCAAATGAGGGAATGTGATGATGATTACTATCATATAAAACCCAAAAGTCTAACAAGTAAAATACAAAACTTTGATTGGGAGCTTAGCATAACTAGGTATTGGGGTTGATTAATGCCACTGCCTACTTGATGTCTTTTATTGCTTTGATGTTCATCTTGATCTAGTGCTTGAACTTAAGCCGTCTGCCTTATTTTTCAGGCAGCTTTACGGGGAGGAAAAATACTATCAGTTTGTTGCGGATAACAGGTCAGTAGATAGATTGTAGATGAACTTCATGGTAGAAATAACCCAAAACTGTTAGGCTGAGGCTGCCAGTCCCCATGACCAAAAATTTTGCCGTGTTTGTAATGTTTCAGTCTTAAAAATTTTGGATATATATGTAACATAACTTGTAACATTATGGGACTGAATCCCTAATCTTCTTGCTGATTTCAACGTTAGAGTATGGATTACGTTTATGACATTGTCCGAGGTATATAGAAACTTGTTTCTCAATTATTCATTGTATTAGCTTTGGAATTGGGATTTACTGTGTTTTAGCTTCTAAGCGTGGTCATTAATGCTATAGAATACTTCTTGTGAAGAAAGTGAAGGGAAAATTATGCGCGCACAATTTCATTTCTCAATAGTTTTATAATCTCACATGGTGATTGTGATTGGGCATGGGAAATGTGTATGATTTTTTATACATTCTCTTATTTGATTTGGCAATAGTGAGATAAATTGTGTGGGGATCAGCCTTGTAAAACAGTTTTTTCCACCCCTTTAGAAAGAAAGGAAAAAGGAAACCTTCCATCTTTATTTGGATAAGAAGAAGATTGTATTTTTTTTTTTTTTTTGAGAAAGGCAATGGTTAGAGGTGTTAGTGTTTAGGGAGGTATTGAACCAGGACATGGGATGCAAACCATGGCCTTTTTCAAAGGGCAGTAAGTGACCGTCGCGTCACGCACGTGGAACGCAAGAAGAAGATTATATTTGGTTTGATTGATTTTATTATTTTATAATTTTTTAAAGTAGTTGATTAGGGTGTTTGAAAACTTAATTTAAAATTTTAAATTGATATCAGTTGTTGTTTTGGCCATCAATGGAGTCAAATCAAATAAAATTATCTATTGTTGTTAGAGTTTTGGGAAATATTATCTATTGTTGCATTT